AGCCCGCAGGTATAGCAAAAACCGCAGCAGTTCAATACGACATGTCTACATGAAAAATTGGCTGAAACCAGCAGCCGGATGTCTTTCAGTGTTGTGTGGAAGGTGCAGAAGCGACATTTCAGGTGTAATCTTGTCAGCAGAGTTCTGTCTCGCCGTTTGTTGCGGAGGCATAGAAGCATGGTAGGCCACGGAGAGCCTTCTGAACTATAGCAACTTCCTGACGCTGTCAGCAGTCCGATAATTTGGGCTTGCCTAAGAAGGCAGCGCACCGCTGCTGAGCGGCGTCAATGAATGAAGGAATGAATGAATCAATCAATCAATCAATTAAGTTTGCGTCGCATGCGCCGCAGCTGTCTTGTAGCCGCACCTGCGCTGGCAGTGCTGCTGGGAGCAGGCATTGTCTGATGATTCTGGTTTGGGCTGGGATTGAGGGTTGATGCCTTCATCCTACGTGAGCGCACGAACCTCACCATCTTGGATCTTCTTGGTGGCCATGTTGTGTTCTGAAGGGGTACCTAGAATAAATATATGTATATATACATTTATATATTTATAGACACGCGTACCCGCGTAGCGGAGCCGGGGCTCCTCCCTCAGAACTGTCATGTAACGGCAAGGTTCCCTTTGCTCATATGATGGGCCCCTCTGAAGCGCAGAGCCTTATCAGAGAGCCAAAGCTCTTCAAAGCTAGAAAGGCCAATCATTGCTTTCCGTTTCAAGGGATTTGTTGAATCTTCATTCTTATAAGTACTAGCACTGTTACTATCATTATTTTTGTTGGTAGTGTTGCCATGGTTACCAATATTTGCGCTTTTGATCTTCAGAGTGTTTTTGGCCGTGCACCTGGCTCTCCAGGAGAGCTTCGAGGCTGGATGGAGGGCTCCGAAGCCAGGACTGCGGGAGCAAAGCCGTCCGAGCGCCATGTGGCTTCAATCATCTCGAAAAATATCAAATTACCTTCTAAGGGGGTCACCAAAGCCACCCCCTTGCCAGAGGAAGGCTGCGAGGACCTTGCTGGAGAGCAAAGTCTGGGGCGTGCGGCGGAAGTGGGAGTTGCTGGGAAGCCGCTTGCCTTCAAGTCACGACCAGCATACAGGCAGAAACTGCCCTGGCAGTTGTGCTGCAATCGTGTCTTCAGCCAGAGTGCTGCTGGTGTGCCACTAACACCTCATTTCCATTCACTGAGCTCAACAGAGGTTATTCGTCGGAGAGGACGGAGGAGATCCTCGCCGCTTGGCACGCATGAAATTGCCTGAAGTCCTCTGCTACGCGGAACGCAACCGCATTCAAGCAGGGGAATAGCAAGTCACAGAAGAGCCTCGAATCGCACAACCCGAGTCAGCGCCTGGAATTTCAATTTGCCTCGCAGAACGGCCCTCTTAAAATGAAGATGCTGCCACATGGGCAACATATCCACAACGCAGAGTAAACCGTTGTAAGCGGACCTTACTTGAAGCCCATGTGATCCCGATACATAGCATCTACATGTCCCAGTCTAATCCAATGCTTCTATGATTCTAGCAACACCCCGTTACGTAACTCTACTACACTTACTACGCAATTCCAAGGTGTCTAAACCCATATGATACCACGTACGCATTTATCAGGACCTAGACTTTTCATTTCATTTCCCATTTTCTTTTCCACTACATTCCCCATTATTGGATTAGAATTTAGGTCCTCTTTGTAGGACTGTCAGGCCAGCTTTCGCCTGTCAGCCTCCTTGGCCGCGCGCTGCGGCCTTCCTGCCGAAGAAGGCCTGGGGAAGCGGGGGTTTGGGAGTTTTCCAACATGATTAACCCAGACCCCTGATTAATAAACCCCCTCCCCTTAATATGGATTTATATTAGGGATCCTAATATTAAGGCCCCTAAAAGGAGGGTTTTTGTAAATCATGGGTCTACATTACTGTGGAGTTTGCAGGCGGATCCTTGCTCTTTTCCAAGAGACCTCCTTAGAAATGTGACCATATTTGGGGGGATTAAATTACTATTACTAGTACTATTACTAGTACTATTACTATTACTAGTACTATTACTATTGCTATTACTATTACTATTAATATTAGTATTACTATTACTATTATGGGGGTTGTAGGGTTGTCCTCGGGCCTTCGAGGAATGGTTAGGGCTCCAAGAAATAGGAAGTTATGATACATCCATAGTTGGAGTGTTGGTGTGAATGCTATGGCTTGCTGCTGCAGACGGGGCCTGAAGGTGATTCTGAAGTTGATCTAAACTCTAAGCCTTTAACTTGTAGCTCGAAGCTGTGAGCCTTCCTGAAACATATACCTATAGCTGAAGATCTCTAGCGAAAAGCTCGCATTAGTGCTTGAGCTGCACTCAAAGCGATGTGAGTACCCAGCGTGGACATAGGACACCGTAAAATACATCAGTATCATCAGCCCTGTAAGTACACATCGGAAGAACAGAACATGTTAGTAGTAGCTCATGTCTGGTTGGTCCCCCGGAGGTCAGAGCTGGTTGGACGCCGTACGTCTGATGCGGAGGCAGTCTGAGGCACTCGATGGTTCTCCGGTGGTGCACGTGAAGCAAGCATTAAAATACACGGACGCGCCTACACCAACAGGACTTTCGTATCGATAGGCGGTTGAAATGTCAAACGTTCTGCAGTTTTTTTGGCACCCTTCATCTTGTAGATCAACCTGGCTTCTATCATTCTGATTCTGCTGTCTTTTCCTGAGTGAGGCTCCCCATGCTGGTTGGGCTGGTTGTGGGCCTACTGTGGATGTTTGGAGGGCTTTCCTGAGAAGCTACTCGGAGCCGGTCATGCAGCTGACATGACGACGGTTCATCATCATTCTCATCTCGTACGGGTGGTGCTATGTGTCGGCAAGTATTTCAAACACGTGTAGACTACCCTGGTCTGGTCAAGTCTGGTCTTCTCGAAAGATCCACAGTGACCAGGAACTGTCCGAAGGCCCGGTAGCTCTATGGCAACGTGCTGCTTGGATGCGTTGTGTGATTATTTAGCAACTGTCACAGATTTGTGCCAATGGCACCGTCCGCCATCTGGAGAGGTTGAGCAGCATCCCATTGCCGAGTATGTCCATGTTCAGTGCCAGAGCTTGTTGGCAGCAAGAGTTCTAAGCTCGCAGGTGTCCAGCGGAGTAGGTGTGCCAAGCCTTGTGCTTCAGGCCTGTCCAGTCAAGCACGTTATGGCAAGAAACATGGAATAATGCAAGAGCTCAGGCTGTGGGCGGCGCATTCCGGACAGCTTTCCAGCGGAGGAGGCCCGGGACTAGATCCAAAGATTTTGTAGGAAAAGGAAGCGAGCAACTTTGTAAAGCTTGTGGCCTGGGCTGGGGAGCATGGTGCTGTGCAGGAGCCCAACCTGTCCGAGGAGGAGCCGCTACCCGAAGAGAGGCAAGGAAAGGCTGAAACCTGTTCATCTTTTGCATGGTGTGAATTCAGTCGCCGTAATTGCTAACTTTGGGGTGGCAGGGTGAAACAGAAGTACCATCAGGGCTTTGTCAAACACGCTTCGGTTGAGAGCTTACCAGAATCTGGCTGGCATGACGAATGGTGTAGGAAATTGGTTTGCTAGTTTGCCAGCTAAAGCCGCAGCCGGAGGAAGTATGGGTACACTCTGCTGGGAGCCTCGTGATCTGAGTTGGAACAAGACATGCCAGTGTTGTTTGGAAGTTAAGCTAGGCCATCGGGATGCAGAAGCCTGCCTTTTTGATGAAGGTCCCTGGTCCGCGCCGGATGGTTCCGAGGTCCTCGGGGTCCGGTTGTCTTCGTGTATCGCGGCCAGGCAGGCATGAGTGGAAGGATGAGTTTCTGTTGGGATGTTGTATGTCTCATGAGATTACAGTCCCTACGATCTGAGTGATCATTCTTCTGCCGTGCTGTAGCTGTGCAGCTCAGGGTGCCCGGATTGCGGTGCCGTGTCGCGCTGGTATCGCGCGACGCATCCGGAGGCGAGAGTTTGGCTGGATTATAAAGGTTCTGAGAGGAAGGCCGACAAGTATGGATGTTGAATAGCAAAAAAGGCAATTAGAATAGGCTGTCCTAGCAGAACTAGCCGCAACTAGCCACAATAAGAGCAGGAAAGGTTCATCTCCATGCAGACCTCTGCAATTCCTGACCTTGATGTCCTTTGGCATGGGCCAGTGGCAAATGACCACCTGCAGGGAATTGGACACGGCTCAGGTGACGCTGAATCCCAATCGCTGGGGCCGCCTTTGTGGAGAGCAGGAGGCGGAACTCTGGAGCTAACTGCGCTGCTCTCCATGCTGGAGCAGTTTGACATCCACAGTTGACCATATACACAGGTATGAGAACCTTGCATATTTTTGCGTTGCACTGCGGATGCCTCACCTGGTTTCGGTTTGCATGTTGTGGTGTTGTTTGGTACTTTATTGCTTAGACCATCTTGAACTTGTGGTGATTGCTTAATTGCAGCCACATTCCACGCCCATTCCAGCTTTGTGACATGTGAGTGGGATATTGGCCTCCAACCATGATGGCCTGTGCATCGCGCGCAATGTGCCAGGATCTGAAAGCTTGGCTTGCAAAGTACTTGGGTGTCCGCTTGCGCGGCCGCCTGAGCGAGTGAGGTCGTTCCTTGCCGAGGTTGAGGAGCTGCCAGGGATAGGGTTCTGCAGCCTGGAGAGTTTGATCTTCCCGTTTCAGTTCAGCTTGTCCGGACTTGAGGTGTTTGCCTTCCACTGGATTGGGACGCTTGGCAAACTTTAACTCCATAATTCAGGCCCATAGCCAGTTCTGCCTCATTGCCTGAATCCTGTGGTCAATACACCGTAGTCTGCGGCTTTCTCAGGATCACGTCTGGACCGAAGTCTTCGACGGACATTCATGGCGACCACTGGTGCCGGGGCGGAGCATATTTGCGTGCACGAGAGGGGTTGGCTTGCGCCGTGACGCCTAAAGCAGCAGTGTGATGGTCTTGGCTTGGAGCGTGTACAATGAAGCATCGTTTGCGCTTAAGCAAGGATCCGAACTGCTACTGGGCCAGCAATGAGTCAGGGCTGGGACTTTGGAATGGCCTGCCTGAAATTTGGTGGGATTGGATTCGATGTAGACTTTCTGGAGCAGAGAGGTGTCGATTTCGCTCGCCGTCTCAATGAGGGCATCGGCTCCTGGCTGCTTGGTCAAGAAATTTTGCCAAGCAAATTGTGGGGGACTTGACCGCAGTAGCAGACTAATCTTCGTGACCAAGCCTGGCCAAATTAACATCAGGACAATGCCAACAGCACGAGGCTAGCCTTCTGAAGAAGCTCTTGCTTGTAAAAGATTTGAATCGTGAAGACTGATCGTGCTGGGCCCAGGACGCGCGTCCTGGCTGTCGGTACTCCAGGCAGAGAGGGGCGCGTTGGTCGTGTACTTCTGCGTTTTGTAAGTCTCCTTCATGATGGGATCTGATTATTCTCGTTTCCAAGGGTTGATGCAATTGAAGGCGCAATAGTCAGGAGTAGAATCCGCCTGGTGTACGCGAGTAGCCTTTTTCAAGCTATTCAGGTTCCATCTAGATTCCCTCCTGTGAGGTAGCGGTGACTTGGAAGCGGCGACGGAAGAGGCTGCCGCACACGAGTTCAGAGCTTTAAGAAGGTTCCTCCAAATCACGCATCCTGTTTACGTATCCTTATAGTTTTGTGGGGTCTAAGTCATGTGTCCCGTTTCGGCACCTTCCAGAAAAATGTTTGCGTCTTTTTTGTTGGTAAGGGGACCGTCATTGCTAGATACGCCCAGGGCTGCTTGGTCTAGCGGTGCAACACGTAACAGCATAAATCCAGGACTTCAACATGTTTACGAAGAACTTGCTATGTTTGCAAATTCGAGTGCCAAGGAGGCACCCGCGTTTCTAAAATGATTTCCCAAAATAGTTTCCCTATCCTGAAGCACTTTCAGGCGATTTACTTGGGATGTCACGTTTGTTTTTTCTACTCTCTCTCTCTCTCTGTCTCTTGGCAGGTCACGGCGAAGTACTTGGACTTTGCAAAGGGCAGCGATGATGAGGCACGCAAGAAGAGCATGAGTTAATCTGCGCTGGAATGCTTCAGGTGCACACTGGACGCAAACACGCACTAGTACCATGACCAAGGTACAGAGGGGGAATTCAGCTATACCGGTTTTACTGTCGCTTCCCCCTTGAAGATTTACGTGATGTCCTTCAGTCACAGGATGAGTTGCTAGTACATGAAGATGGGTCTGTCATTCTTGGTTGGGAAGCACCTCCAAGCTTGAATTCTTTCCCTAAAAAAAAAAGTAAAACCCTGAAAATACCTAGGCCCCAAACCCCAGGTTTTCACCAAGTGCCTGCCCTGTGGGCCTTCAACGGCTGCAAAACGGGTAAACGAAACCTTGCAACAAACAATACGCAAGAGCAACAGAAACCCAGAAACCCAGACTATGAGGCTATCAGGAACTTTAGAGTAGGAGCTGTCATTAATATTACCATCGCAAGTCTTGGTATTGCTACCACTATTCTTATTATGAATATTCTTATTACTACTATCCTGACTCTATCCTTACTATCGAGATCATTACTGTCATCATTATTCGTATTATTGTTGTTATTACTAATATGTATTATTCTTGTTATTATTGTGCTATGCCCCAGGTTGCTGCCTGGCGCCGCCAGATTCAGGCTGCCCGAGAGGATCCCTCGGGGCAGGCTCCTTTTTTTGGAACCAGTGCCTGAGGAGTCTTTGTATAGGGATTTGTCTCAGGATAATATAGGGATTAGAGAGAGGCTGTATGGGGGTTATACAGGGGTTATAGGGATTTTAGAGGAGTAATGGAAAAGAAAATGGGAGCATCTATTTTATAGTAGGGCATGTGCAGGGGGTTATATCAATGAGCCTAAGGTCCAAAGGGACAAGGTTTTTGGCATAGTTGCAACGGATTGACTCTAACTGTCCAAGGCTTTGAATAGGGATTATGTAGAAAAGTTTTGTACGTCTGGTGTGGGCCCATGAGCATTTCAATGCAGTTCTCACCGTATTAGTTGAGGGCCACTGTGCTGAAACCTGCTGGACACTTGTGAATGGGGGCTGCAACTTTCTTGCATGGTGCCCTAAACCCTAAACCCTGAACCATGCAGTTCCTGTGGAGGCCACACAAAGCCGCACTTGTCACGGCTACACGCTGCTCTGCACGGGCATGGAGGCTCCCGGAGATTCCCAATGCTGTTATTTGATTCTTCTTCCCATTAGGGGGTTTCCCAAAATTAGGGGTCCCTGTTTCGGGGTCCTTCTAATTAGGATTACCATATATTGGAGTCTATATTGGGATCCGCCCCATTTTGGGAAACTATTATTACCAGTCCCCAGGTCGGCCTTTAGCTTTACTCTAGCACGGCCATCCTCTGATATCAACCGTAGATGAGCGACATTGCAGGTTCAAGGGTCTGTGCGTCCGTGAGATCAATCCAGAATCTCATTCCTCTCGCTGTCTGAAGGAGCCAGAAACCTAGACCTTGAGAGCGGAGCACTGAACCTGAGCACCAAGATCCAATTGGGGAAGGTCCACAGCTACAGCAGGGTCCGCATTTCCACCTTTGCATAATGACTGTCAATTTTTTCTTCGCCTTTCTCCGTCATGCTTACAATCTGCTATCTTTCATTGGCAGTTTTGCCGCAGAGACACCCATTGCTCTCCTTGACATCAGCCAGTGTTCTCGTCATGTAGCTTACTGTATTGTTCTTTTTTGTCGCTACTACCAGAGGCAGTAGCTCTCACAGTGTCAATACTTTCATGAGGGACTGCCAAGACGAGCGGACTCTCATCATCATTGCTCCTATCATGTTTGCTGCTGCAGCTCAGAGACCTTGTAAATGGCAGTTACCGGTTGGAGCAGCGCAGCTTTTTCTGCATATCTTGCTTACTGAAACCATTTTGAGGCAGATTACGTGCTGTTTCCTCATTAATTGGGTAGCCCTGTAAAACTCTTAGGTATCCATGAGCAACCCTATAGGGTATTCCAAGCCGTTGTGGGAGGACGATGAGATCTCTGAGGAGCTGAGGATGGCTCAACGCGCCTTCGACGCCCAGAGGGCTCCGGGCCGCGGAGAAACGGACCTCATGCCTGGGATTTGGGGAGCTTCTTGGGTTTTTGGCAGGGATTCTGTGGGGGATGTAAGTAAACTGTAGGGGGCTGGAGAATCTACTTATTATCAGGAGATTTTGATGACTGTGATGGGCTAATCTGGGTATGTAAAGGTTTCATTGGGATTTGAGGCTCCGAAGTTCAATGAGACTGGTAAGCAGTTTTATGGTCTGTGTACGTGGAAGCAGGATGGCTCTTGGGGCATTGGGCTGCTTCTCAGCATGCACCTCGCAGGGCAGGGTTACAGCCGCTTGTAGTTTGCTTGCATAATTATATGTTAGATATCTATGTATTTTTTGTGCTCGATTTTTTTGGCTGGAGCCCGTCCTGACTCTTATGGCAGCTGTGTGCTATCAAGAGTCGGACCGCGGCTAATTCCAATTTTTATTTGACTTGATGTACCAAAGCATCTTCAAAGGCTTTCAGGGACCCTGGCTTTGCTTGTCTTGGTTTGGGCAGGCCTTCAATGACATCAAGGGCCAAGAGGCGCAGATGGAGGAGATGAGGGAGGAGGCAGCGTACAGCTCGTGACATGCATTACTCGAAGTCTCTCTTGGATGCAAGGGCTGCTTAGGTTAAAGGTCAAATTTTCAGGTTCTGAGCTCTAGCTTCTGGTTGAGAACCAGGTGCTCCGAGAATCTGACTAGCTGATTCGGACGAGTATCCCTAATCCCCCGAAGGAATCCACCGAGCGATGTACTGACCCAGCAATCATCTGAAAGGTGGAGTCCATGTACCAACTCCTTCGGCAGTACAACGTCCGCGTTAGCGGGGATGTGCCCGCCCCAGCTGGAATGGACTTACGGATTCCAGGCCGTATATGCCATGGACACAGACAAAATAAGATGCACCCATTTCCTTGATAGGACCTGGCACCATTTGCTATCCGTGGTAGCCTGCAAGCGGTACTTCGGTAGTATTGTTGTGCTCAGACCCTCAACTGCCCTGAAGCCAGGTGTGTAAGTCAAGAGCCGAAATGGAAGGCAGCATTACTTAGCCAGAGATCTGCTCACTGACTGAGGCCCAGAAGCCATTCCTGCAGCAACAATCCTCAATAGCAGTCGGAGTCTGCACTCTTCCTTCTTTGCTTTGCTCTTAGATAACTGGCTGTCTTACAGGAGCCTTCAGAACACCAACGCGGGCTAAGGATACTGTGCAGATGGAGTTCTTGCAGACCAAGGGCTCTGACTTCGCAGACCGCAAGCTCATTGAGGCTTCATGAAAACAGAAGAACCCAAACTGTCGTATCAGGAAGTCCCAAACGTCAACAGGGCCAGCCCTGTGAGAGTTTCCGTCAAGAGGTTATGGAATTAGGCATTCCTGATTGTAAGTATAACTCAAGTAAGCGTGAGACCTTTTACACTCCAGAAAACCGAGAGCCAGGGAAACGCCTTCATCCGCGAGCGTGCGGATGAGATGGTTGAGAGTCTGAATGGTGTGGCAGTCCCAGTGGTTTGCCAAAGCAGTCGCCAAAGTAGTTGCACATTTTCTATGAATCCTGCCGGTAAGGGCTGTCACTAGGGCCATGGCTATCCATGGGACGCAAGGGATTTGTCTGCTTGAGTGTTACAGTTGGAGAGTCTAGAGACTCCATCCTTGCTCCAGCTTTTCTCTCGGTGTGAAGCCGAATTCTGTTGCAATATTGCAATATACGCGCGCTTGCGGTCCCTGCGTGTGTATGTGAGGGGTTGCGCGCTTTGGGAATCTGAAGAATGATATTTGTGTTCTGCCCTTGGTTATGACTGTGTTTGCTACTATGACCGTCTCCTGTTCATGGCCTCGCTCCACTGAGGTGTCGCAGCTTGCGGAGGAGGAAGCCAAGAAGCTGACAGAACAGCTGCACGGCTATGGGTAAGCTCCAGCGGTTTTTTCAAATGTATTTGGCGTCATCTCAGTCTGCTTGAAATATCAGGGTCCTATAGAATGAGTTGAGAGCATACATGTGTAAACATGTATATATACATATATATATATATATGTGAGATTTACATTTTGCCACCAGCTTCTCAAGTGGGGGGAACATTCAGTATATGCACTGCAGTGTATAGGATTCCTCGAGTTGCAGCTGGTTTGTTCATTTTGTTCTGCTACCTGCTACGGGAATCTACGGGCAAGCGCGGGCAGCGGGACTATTCCTGAGCTCCCTTCTCACCACGAACTGGATCTCCAAACTTTAACAGGAGTGCGGAAGGTTGTAGATCACCTGGGCAGAAGGCGGATTCTTGCCGGCTAATTGCACGCGGGACGCCTGCACCTAAGTTGCAGAAGCGGTGCTCAGATCATGTGTGCCAGATCTGAGGTTGCGGTCTGGAAGCTTCGTGTCACAGGAGGGGGGCCATGGCAGGTGGCAAGAATTGCAATGATGCCCCAAGTTGATCGCTGTCAGATCCAGATGCAACTGCAGCTCAAACAGGGTGTACGCCAGGACAACATCCACAGCCCTGAAGTGGTTCTTGAGGAGCTGACCACCATTCAGGCGGGCTAACTCCTGGTATACCGGGCTATCTCCTGGTCAAACGCACCCCTGCACAAATGCTCTGGTGAGAGGGAGGAAGTTTTGCTCATCTACCATAATAGCATGAAAAATCCGTCATTGGGCTCGGTGGAGTCCAGAACCACCTACATCAGGGCATTGGGGTTGCACTGCAGACGCTCTCCTCTCTCAGCATCTCTCAGCGTTCAGAGGTGGCTGTCACCAAGCTTGAAGAGAAAGCAGCAAACTACAACGAATACCAGGCAGGATTTGCTGAAAAGCATTTCGAGGCTGCAGCTGTTGCTGTTCTCGATTTGGAATAGCGGTTGCAAGCTTTCAGCTGACGTGGTGCGGCTGCGAGGCTCTCTTCTATGTACCCGTGCAGTTTGAGTTCCAGGAAGTGGAGAAGGCCTGTCTTCAAGTCTTATACCAGGAAGATTTTGGTGAATCCTTCCTTCCTTCCTTCCTTCCTTCCCTGTGCGCAGCGAACCTGAGCCAGCATTCGTCTGCTTGCCCCTGCCAGGCTAAGCAGCTTTTCACGGAGAAATCTCGCTTGTGGAATCTCATCAGCGATTGGAAGGCTCTGCTCCGATTGTCCTATGACATCAGGGTTGATTCTGCAAGCTCTTATTGCTTAGACCCTGTAAATTAGATGCTCGACTTTATCAGTGAAGCATTCCAGGAGAAAACGCTGACAACTTGCCTTCACACAAATGCCTCCTTCCGTTGCTTTGTCTAACTCAAGCATTTGGGCATCCCAGACTGCTTTGCCACCTTGAGATTTGCCTGTAATGCTGCTGTTCAGCCGGTTTTTCAAGAAAGATGGAAGCGAGCCGACGGTGCACCATGTGAAGCTGCCGAGCGCTCCTAGCGCCATGTATTTCGACAAAGAGAAAGGCCGGTGGCGAGAGAGAGGGAAGGAACACCTGGAAG